AAGTATCATATAAAAATTTACTATCAGAGATTTTTTGACGATCATTTAATTTCTGCGGTTATACCGGTTAAATGGATATTTTAAAAATTGTAATACAAATTCGAAGTTTTATGACTTTTAATTTTTTAATAACAGAGTTTATACAGTAATAAAGAAAATTATATTTTTTTTTTTTTAGAAAAAAATATTTCAAATAATTGATCCGCTTTTCTAACCCTTTCTGCATCATCTAAAATTATATTATTCTTCAAATTTAAGTTACATAATGGTTGATTTTTTCTTTGCTCCCGGACCTTTTTAATACTGGATTTGTTAATATTTTCAAATGAATTAGAGCCAATAGAAAGCATTGTTTAGTTTTAGCTCGTCCATCCTATTTAAGATTTCATTAATTTTTTGTTTTTTTATCATTTTCATTTGCTTCTAATTTTTGAGCTTGTATTTCACGAACTTTTTTAATTGACGGGCACGGCTTGAAATTCTTCCCATTAAATAATCCGAAATCTGTAAAATTCAATTTCACATGATTTTAGTAGCTTTTATGTAGTGATAAAGTTCAAATGCATACATAGCGACCTTAGGAACAATGTGACTCTTTGTTTTTTGGAAGAAGATTAAAAAAGCGAAACTTTTCGTTCAGAAATAGTTATTTTGTTATGTTTGAAATATGAATAGCTTTTTTAAAAAAAAAGCAGCTAGTTGCATGAAAGAGACGGTTATTTAGAATACTTTCGCGAAATTTGGAAAGAAATTAATAAGAAGTCAAAGAAATTGAAGTTTAAAAATGTATTAGTTTTAATAGGAAATTTATTTTAAGCAAATTTAAACTATTTTAAATTATAATTTAATACAAAAAAATCTCTAATAGTAAATTTTTATATGATACTTAACAATGTTTTGATTTACGTAGACCCCAATATCACGTGTATGAATCGCGACTTATAAACTCGATTGACCGCGTTAATTAGTTACTTAATTCTATATAAAACATATTAAGCTATGTCCAAGGTGTTGTTATTTTTTTTCTGGCTTTCTATTTCATGGTTCTTTATGATCTGATTGCTTTCTTTATACCCTTTCGCAGAACAAAAACTGACAAGATGGAGTATTTTAACAAAACTCACCCAAACAACTGGTCGCTTTTGTGGTATCTCGAATGGAGAGCAAATTTCGTTGATTTTTCCAATAAAGTGCATGAACATAGCGTTTTTTTCGATTTGGTAAAAAAGATTTCTGGTGAAAGTGGGGCAAGAGGCGAAATGGCGAAGTCGTTATGAAAGACTTTAAGGTTGTATTTATTTTTTTAAAAGGACTGCCGATGAGCCAAGAATTTCTAAGATTCTTGGTAGACTGTGAGTTAATGTTGCTACACACTAGTGAACCGTGAAGTTGCACAGTGATGACCGAGAGTCAGTAGTGACTCATCAGTAGTCCAAAAATGGTGAGGCACTACTGAACCGTGAGTTGCAGTGTGTTTTTGACCGAGAGTCAATCGCTATTTTCTTAATAATACTCGTAGCTTTAATATATTTATTGAAATAATTTGGAATACTAACTAATAACTCTTTATTAATATAAGGATGAAAAAGATTTGTTGGAAGTGAATACTTTTTGGAATAATCGTGATATAGAACTAGAAAGGAAGAGAAAACTCTGGCAGATAGAGTCTTCGGATGTAAGTGTGTATAAGCATTCGAATTATGAAATTGCCATTGACATGCTTCTATATATTTACTAGTTGGACTATATATACACACGAGACCAACAACTAGAAAAGCATATTAAGGTTATTCGAGAAAATAGGGCGACAGTTGAGCAAACCCAAAGTCAGCTTTCTAAGGTAAAGAGAAATTTTGTATCAGATAACATTCTGTATCTTTTTAGCATCTGCCTTTGCAAATTGATTCATATACAGTATATCTCTCTATTTAGGCAAATGTATCTGTAATGGATCTCTCAAGTATTTTAAATGATCCGGGAGATTCTTATCCTATAATTAATGGCTCAGATGACGATATTACATCATCTATTTTAAATGATCCGAGAAATTCTTATCCTATAATTAATGGCTCAGATGACGATATTATATCATCTTCTGGAAATAGCGAAGCACAGTCACAAGACTCACCAGCGACTACGTTATCTACATGTGAATCGAATAACAACAAAACTGTTAATATGAAATCAATGAGTAGTATGCCTTTTGAATCGACAGCCAAAGGAAGAAAGTATATTAACCATGATCTAGCAGACGAGGTGTTAAAGTCATACCAAATACACATTCTTCCCGATCACAAACTAATATACGATAATGTTGATGTTATGGAATTCGCACGCTCAATCATGAAAGCCACGAAAAAAAAATCAGGTATCAAAAAGTCCTTTATCCATTGGTATCATTGATATTCACAATGTCGAATGTCTTAAATATCTGCCTCAAATGTTCAAGGAATATATACAGTCCCCGGCGAAAAGAATGGCGGTTTAAATACCGCATCTATTTTAGGCCGAAACGTAAACCGCGTTTCCG